ATCCCACCCCTAAATCTACAATCTTTTCAGATTACCAGGATGCAGCCTTAGATAACAGGGGGAAAAAATTCCTAGATGGGAACTATGGCTTTGGAATCCTAGTCTAGGCTCTCTCAGTGACTCACCATGTGACCTTAAGCAAATCCCTTCACCACTCTGGGCCTCAGTTTCCCCATCTGTAAAATGAAAGACTTGGACTAGACAAGATCTGTGGTTTATTGGTTCCCTACAGAGTTGTGAGGTCAAATCAAAGTCATTCTGAGACGTTGCCAACTCATGAAGACACCACGGCCCTGATCCCTGGAGTAATACCCAGTGGGATAAACTCTCAGCCTTGGTCTGTGAGAATGGTAGTCATCTTCAATTTACAACTAGCGACACCTAGTGGACTAGTCCTAGAGTCATTAAATCTCTGCCTTGGTCAGGTTCTGGAGAAAGAATATGTGGAAATTTTAAAATCAGTATTTTAGATAAGATGTAGCATCAGAACTAGAAGGAACCTAGGGGCAGCTAGGTGGAATGGTGGATAGAGCACCAGGCCTGGAGTCAGGAAGACTCATCTTCCTGAGTTCAAACCTGGCCTCAGACACTTCAAGTTGCTTAATCCTGTTTGCCTCAGTTTCCTCATCTGTAAAATGATCTGGAGAAGGAAATGGCAAACTACTGCAGTATCTCTGCCAGGAAAACCCCAAATGGGGTCAGGAAGAGTCAGAAACAATTGAACAATAACAACAAAGAACAAATCACAGATCTAGAACTGGGAAGAACTTCAGACATTTCCTTCGAATCCCTCATTTTACAAAGGAAGGAACCAAGGCCCTTGGAGGTTAAAAGACTTGCCAAAAATCACACAGCTGGTAAGCATCCAAGAAGGCATCGGAATCCCAGTTCTCTGACCTCAGAGACAGCTTTCTCTCCATTGCTCCATATTGTCACCTGTCAGAGTGGGAAGGGGAAGAAGAAATAGGGGAAGAGTAGAAGCACTTATTAAGCACCTACTATGTGCCAGGAACTGTACTAAGTATTATCTCATTTGGTTCTTTTACAATACTGCGAAGTAGGTGCTATTATGGTTCCCATTTTAGAGTTGAGGAAACAGGCAGACAGTGGTTAAGTGACTTGCCCAGAGTCACACAGGGACATTGGCAATTATATAGACGTGGTCTACAAAGTTCACCTTCACTCCAGTCTTTTTCAGTAGGACAGAGTGAGTCATACAGGATAAGTGACCCAGCTATGGATGGGTTTTGATCTTCATCAAGGACCTCTACATTAACTTTTCCCAAAGCCCCCCCCCTTCCCAGACTTTCCTATTTTTAAGCCAAGGGAGCCATCATCCTTCCATGCACCCATTTTTGTAAACTTCCATATCACCTATACTCTATTGCATCCCCATCCCCATCCAACCAGCTGCCACATCTTGTCCATCTTTCCCATCCATTCCCATCTTTCTACTTATTTAGGCCCCCCCCAACATATACTGCATTCATGACCTCTCACCTAGAATATTGCAAGTCTAACTGGTCACCCTGCCTCAAGTCTCCCCACTCTCCAGCCCATCCTCCACACAGATGCTAAGGTGACTTTCCTAAGGCATTGGTCCAACCATGTCAATCCTCTACTCACTAAACTTCAGTAGCTCCCTATTGATCCCTCTAGAATCAAATGTTATTTCATCTTTATCTCACCCATTTTACATTTTTATCTTATGAGTGAGTTTTATAACATATTAGTACATGGAGAGTTTCCAAGTAAATAAATCCACATAGATTGGTGTTACCTGCTCAAATTTTTTTTAACTGATCTGGAGTGTACAACCAAAAGAAGTTGGGATCATAATAACAATAGCTAGTATTTAGGTAACACTTTGAGGTTTATAAAACACTTTATAAATATTATTTCATTCATCTTCACAATAACCCTTTGAGGTAGGTGCTGTTTTTAACCCCATTTTACAGGTAAGTAAACTGAGGTAGATAGAGGTGAAGTGACTTTCCCAGGGTCACATAGTTAGGAAGTATCTGAGGCTGGATTTGAACCCAGGTCTTCCTAACTCCAAACCCAGCAATCTGTGCACTAATATCACTGCCTAGCTGCCTAGCCTGGATCATTGGACTCTAGAGAGTCCTGACTGCTGCTTACTAGCTGTGACCTTGGAAAAAGTCATTTCCCTTCTCTGGAATGGTTTCCTCATCTACAAAATAGTGATAATCAAACTAGGGCTATATAGTCCACTGGGGAATTGCTGTGGAGAAAGTACTTCTAAATCCAAAAGCACTTTGGACTCAAGAAGTGGAAAAAATGTTGACCTTCAATTCAATTCAATAAACATTTATTAAATGCCTATTGCATTCCAGGCACTACTAAGCTGCTGGAAATTAAAAAAGAAGCCAAAAAAGGGGAAGCTAGGTGGCATCATGGATAGAGCACCCCCTCTGGAGTCAGGAGGACCTGAATTCAAATCCAGCCTCAGACACTTAATAGCTGTGTGATCCCAGGCAAGTCACTTAACTCCAATTGCGGGGGGAGGGGGCGGAGGAGAGAAGCAAAAGGCACTTCCTGCTGTCTAGGAGTTGACAGTCTAATGGTGAGGAAATAATCAAAGGAATATATCCAAAGCAAGCTATCTGCAGGCTAAATAGGAAATAATTAAGAGAGGGCAAGCATTAGAATGAAGAGAGGTTACAGAAGGCTTCTGGTTGAAGGTAGAATTTTAGTAGGGACTTTAAGGAAGCCAGGGAGGTCAGGAGTCAGAGTGGAGGAAGAAGTTGTGGGATGTCAGTGGATTCCAAGTTCTAGATCTTGTGTTCTAGGCCTGTGTGGCTTTGGGCAAGGCACAAGTCACTCAGCCTATCTGGGCCTCAGTAAAATGAAAAAGCCTTAATATCTAGACACATGGTGTCAAATGCAAATAGAAATCGATCCCTCCAGCAGACCACATAGTGACTTAAAAAACCACAAATTAACATTATCTATGTTGCATTGTGTTTTTATTTATTTCATGAAGCATTTCCCAAGTACAACTTCATCTGGTTCAGCTGCAGTGGGGAAGAGTCTATGGGTTTAACGCCTCTCTCTAGATTGTATGACCTCTGAGATTCCCTGCTAGCTTTAAATCTATGGTCCTCATTATTATCATCATTGGAGGACTTTATAATTACAAAGCACATTACATTTATTATCTCACCAGAGTCTCACAACAGCTCTGCGATGCAGGGAAGGCAAATGTTCTTCTCCTCATTTTAAAGATGCTGGAAATGCAGTTTAGAGAGGGAAAGGCATTTGGCCAAGGTCATTTACCCAGGGTCGTGGCAGAACCAGGACCCAAATGAAGACCTTTCTTGACCTGAAGCCCAAGACTCTTTCTGCTCACTGTTCAATGATGCCTTGTAAGACTAATCAGAGAAAGGGGGAAAGTAACAAGTACTATGATCCCTTTGTTTTCCCGCCCCCCCCAAAAAAATTCCCACCCCTTAATCACAAATATACAGCCCATTCATTTCAGGATATGAAAGCGACTGGGAGCTCTCCCTAGGGCAGAGCTGGGCCCAGGGCTCCTCCTCCTGCCCACACTGGATCTTGGCCCAGGTCTAGATACATGGGGCTTGGGGTACAGACTGGCTAACTGGGTGCTTGGTAGACACACCTGGAGTATTTAGTGTACCATAGGCCAGACTATGAGCTACTTATCCATTTTGTCTCTCTCACCAGGTAACTTTAGCACAGGGCTCAGCACACAGTAGGTATACTAGGAAATATTTACTGAATGCATGAGTGAGTGAGCAAATGAAGGAATGAGTGAAGGAATAAATTAGTGGAAAAAATAAATGCATGAAGGGTGAATGAAGTGATGGAATGAAGAATGAGTGAATGAAATGAATAAGCAAATGAGCGAGCAAATGTAAATAAATGGATGGATGGATGGATGGATGGATGGATGAATGAGCAATGAGTAAATATGAGTGAGTCAATGGAGCCCACATCCTTTGACCTTTCCCTGGTCTTGGTCTAATCAGCATGCCTGGAAGTTTTCCCCAATACCCCAGGGGGTATTGTGAGAAATCTGGAAGGAAGAGCTGAAACTCTGGTCCTTTTTCCTGTTGTGCCACCTTCCCCTCGGGCTTAACCACAGGGGAGGAGCTTTTCTCCAGTCAGAAGGAGGAGGAAGAGAGGTTCATATCTCTAAGCACTAGCTCATAGACCACATTCTCTTGAGGAAAAGGGGCTAGGAAGTGTGTTTGTGGTGAGAATTCAAGAGAATAAAGACCCAGATTAGTTTTAGAGTAGCTGGGGATGGCCTGGACTTTCTACAAAGGGCTAGACAACAGACTAGGTCCTTAGTAATAATAATTACACACACATATAAAGAACACTTGATTTAGAATTAAAAAAAACACCCGGGCTCCTCTTCAGGCTCCTCTACTTAGTACCTGTGTGACCTTAGATCCCATCCCTTCTTTTTCTGGGCCTCAGTTCCCTCAACTATAAAATCCCAATTTGTAAAATGGAGATAAGTAATAGCACCTACTTCATCAGATTGTTCTGATGGTCAAATCGGATGATAGATCCATAAACAGACTTCAAACCTTAGAGTACTACATAAACGTATCTATCAAATGAGGCTTTGGGCTAGATGACCTGCCTGCTAGAAACCCTTTAGTTCTACAAATCAAACAGAACTGAATTTTTCTAGACTCTTTCCAGGCCTTTCTCAGCTAAGCCCCTGCCAACACTGGAAAGTGGAAGAGCCCATGGAACCATTAGCTGCCAGCTTCGGGGCCTCTATTAAGAGAACCTCAAAGCATTTTACTTGCCCATTTGACAGATAAGGAAACTGAAATTCAGAGAAGGGAAGCTGTTGCTTGAGGAGAAGGGGGAGGACTAAGTCTGGGACTGCAGCCTGGCAGGTTTGATGCCTACCCTCTTCCATATGTACCCCAAATCACCACGAGGTGGAGGGGGGTGGGCAGAAGGAGATGATTTTCTGGGAATGAGTCTTTCTTCTCTGACTCCCCAGGCTCTGAGTCGAGCACTTCCTGAGACTGGTTTCCGGCTCTGGCCTTGGCATGGTCTTGAGGCTGGATGGGGGCGTGGGTGAGGAAGAGGGGAGGAGGGGAGAAGGCCACATGCTGGGCTATTTCAGCCAGCGAAGTTGGACCAGGGAGCCAAAAAGAAAATTGATCAGGCAGCTGGGCAGAGGATAGTCCAAGGCAGGCTGAGAGTGGATGTTACCAGGGGGCAGAACCCTGAAAGATCCCAGACTAGGAAGGGAGCAGAGTGAAGCCCTCAAAGGCCAAAGGTAAGGAATCTCATTCTCTAGAGTGCCCATGTTGGGGTTAGGACATCATGTCTATATTTCCATATTTGTATGGGGACTCATATGGATATATAATCCTAGACAGAACAGGGAGGCAACATAGGATTAGATGTGGAATCATACCTTCCCAGTGTGATTCTGGCAAGTCACAACAGAAGTAATAGGCAGCCACTGAAACTCATTGAGCAGGGGTGTTTCCCTCTCTGTTTAAAAAAAAAAAAGAAATGGTACAGGAGGCTACAGTGACTCGTCCAGGGTCACACCTTGGATATGTCAGAAGCAAGACTAACTCAGTTCTTCTATCTACTGTGACACATTGCCTCAAGTGCATAAGGGGTGTGGAGCTAGGGGGTAGAGAGAGAGAGAAAGGGAGAGAGGGAAGGAGGGAGGAAGGGAGGGAGAGAAAGAGAGAGGGAAAGAGAGAGCACATTGCAGTGTGGTATAGTGGATAGAGAATCAGACTTGAGGTCAGGAAGCTCTGGGTTCAAATCCTACCTCTGACCCATGCTGCCTGTGACTCTGGGTAGATCATTTAATCTTTCATTTTTCCAGACAACTCTAAGACTCTAAATTGTAGAGTCATGCATTGGTATAGGGAGTTTCCAGACACTGGGAGGCCCCTATGGTAATGAAATCACAGTTCTAATACAAACTGAGTGTCTATGTCTATGTATATATGTGTATATATATATGAATTGTATGTGTGTATGTCTATGTATATACATACCATATGTACATGCATTGCATACTATGTTTCTATCTATGTGCATCATGGGAGATATGTGTGTCATGAGGATGAATATATATCATACATTTGTGTATGCATGTGGGCGTTGCCATGTGTTTGTGTACACAGTCATGTAGTTATGGCCTGAATAGCATGTGGTCTTCTCCGGAAGCCCCATCTGGGGCTTAGCTTGAAGACATCTAGTGATGGGGAACTCACCCCTTATTGTTGCAGGCTAAGCCTCACTGTCCTTTAACTCCTGGCATGGGGCCCTAAATCCCTGGGACCTTTCTGGCCCCTAAAGTCACCTGCCTCCCTGGGCCCAGAGATCTGCCGACAGCACCTCCCTCCCTCTTTCCTCCTGCAGTCACTGGAAGTGGTACCTGCTTCTTCCCCTGTGTCTTCTCCTCCCAGTCTTTCTCCCCACACTCCAGACCACAAGAGTATACATTCCCTAGGGGGTTATTCACAGGAAGAAGAGAATATGCAAATTTCGAAATAATACATAAGACTATAGTGTGTAGCACTGAAGCAAGCAAAAATAAACCCTACCCATTGTGGACAGCTCCTCAACGTCTCCTCCACAGCTTGGCCATTCTCCCATGAAGTCCCCTCCCCGAGTAACCTGTTCCCCTATGATCCCAAGTAGGGATGGGTCATGACCCACTTCTTATGAGATACCATTTGTAAAAAGCTCTGAGCACAGTGCCTGGCACATAGTAGACTCTCTACAAACACTTCTTCTCTTCCCTTCTCTCTTGCAAGCTTTAGTGGGGGAGGAAGTTAATTACATTTTTAGTGGTAGGTTTTTGGTTTTTTTTTTAAGCACCCTCATTCCCCAACTGAGCCCTTTCCCTTCAGGGAGCTAACTCCTGTAACAAAGAGAAAAAAGAGAAAAAAGGGGTTAAAAAAATATGCCTACTGAGTCTAACAGTAAATGCAATATGCTACACCCATAGTCTCCGCCTTTACAAAGGCCAGCTTTCATTTTAAAACTATTCAGAGTCACCTAGCTCTGGAGTTAAGAAATAAGGAAGGCCCTGTTTATACCCAAGAGGCAAGGTGGTCCAATGGAAAGACTGACACTCTTTTGGAAACTGTTTCCTGGCATGATAACTATCATGTTCCCCCTGGGAAGTACAGACAGGCCCCCGTGGGGAGAGAAAAAAGGAAGAAAAAGAAACAGAGAAAAGATCATAGGTTTTTAAGCTTGGAGATCAATTTGTCCTCTTTCTACAGAGGAGGAAACTGAAGTCAAGCAAGATTAAATTACTTGTTTGAGGTCACATGGGCTATTCCAAGAGCCCTTTGTTAGCTGGGCTTTCTGGACTAATGGGAAAGGGCTTGGTGGATTTGGGGTTACTAGCACCCAAGCCCTAAGGAAGGGGGAAGAAGATGAGAAAGGGGCTTCCTCAGATTATCTTAAGACCTTCCTTTCTCTCCCCCCAAACTCCCTTTCTAGTCTTACCCCCTCCTGCTCCTTTCCACACCTGAGCCAGCCAGACAGGATCCCTTGCTGGATTCCAGCCATGCACCTTCTTTTCCAACCTCTTCACTGTTGCCTCAAAGGACTGACTCAAGGCCTTGCCAAAGCATGCAACCCCCTCCTACCCCATTCATACCTGTCAAGATGTGGCAGAGGGAGCAGGTTCATTCTCTTTCATCCCAGAGACCAAGAACAAGGAGCAGTTGGGGAGAGGTCTTGGGTGGTCGGTGGGACAAATTTCAGCTCAACATGATAACAAAGAAAGTTGTTCCACAGATAACCAGGCTGCCTTTGGAGAAACTGAGTTCTCCATCATGGAAGGTTTTCAGCCAGACCTAGATGACCCCCTGTTAGAAAAGCTGCAGAGGAGAGATTTGTAAACTTTCTATGTCATAGACCCCTCTGGTAGTCTATGGGTTCCTTTCTCAGAATTATATTTTTAAATAATTGAAGGAAATCTTAAATTTCCATTAGGGGTTAATGAAAATAAAGGCATGTTTTTTCCTGACTTCCCAGTCCCTCTGAGATCTATCCATAGACACCATGGGGATGAGAGGAGCCTAGTTTGAGATCCCCTCTTGTACAGGATTTTCCTACTCCAGGAGGGAGGAAGAGGGAGCTGAATGAGGCCACTGCCAACCCTTAGACTCTGGGCTCATCTGAACTCCTGTTCTGCAGGTCAAAGCTCACATGCCACCTCCCCATGCTAAGAAGCCTTCCTTCTCCTTGCTGGTACTGTTGTTTGCCCTTCGTTCTCAAAAAGGACCATGACATTAAGGAGGTGATGCCATGGCATGCAAGTGGATTGGATTTGAGTGAGGGAGGACTGTGCAAAGTCACCAGCCTCAGTTTCTCCTCCAGAGCTACCTGGGTCCAGTGGCCAGATATAGAGTAGGATGGCTGGTGAAGCTCATCCTTGCAAACAGAAGCACTCTCCCCTGCCTTGGAGTCAAGGGACTCTAAGTCCAATCTTTCCTTCCCAATCTCCCCTCTGACACTGCCACACTCTGGTGCAGGCTCTGATCACCTCGTGCCTGAGGGTTGCAATAGCCCACTACTCACAGGTGCCTCACCACTCTAGTTCAGCCTCCATCCAGCTGTCAAACTGATTTTTCTGAAGCTCAGGGATGACCTTATCACATCCTCTCCTCAATAAACTCTCTATGACCTCCAGAATCAAATGTAAATTCTCCATTTGGCATCCAAAGTTCTTCATAACTTGACCCCTCTACTACATTTCCAATCTTCTCCCATCTTACACCACCTCCACCATCACTCTTCTTGGTAGCCTGATTCAGTGACACTGGCCTCCTCAAACAAAACACTCCATCTCTTGGCTCTGACCATTTTTACAAGCTCTCCTCAATGCTGGGAATGTCCTCCCCAATCATCTCTGCCTCCTGCCTTCCCTGGCTTCTTTCAAGTCTCAGCTAAAACCCCACCTTCTACCTGAAGCCTTTCCCAATCCCAGGTTATTCTAGTACCTTCCCCGCTTTTGATTAACTTCATTTTATCTGGTATGTATCTTGTTTACACATGATTTGTTTGCCTGTTGTCTCTCCCATTGGATGGTGATTTCCTTGAGGGCAGGGATTGTCTTTTGTTTTCCTTTGTATCTTTAGCACTCGGCACATAGTAGGAATTTAATAAATGCTTGTTAACCAACTGACGGAAGGAACTGCCCTGGTCATGCAATAAGGTGATGATGACCAGGCTGTACTAGAACCCTCGTCTCTCGATCTGAAAGGCTGCACTGCCCCAAACATCACCATGTCCCTAATGAGTTTCCCATTGTTTTTTTAGTTTCTCCAGGTGTAGGACGCCCCGGCCCTTCCTGGTCCTTCAGACCCACATCAGGTCCCCGGATATGGAACCAGGAAACGAGACAACCACAACAATGTCTGGCTCACCAGGCTCCCCTCCCTCCTGTGTTTTCCATGAGAATTTCAAGCACGTGCTTCTGCCCTTGGTGTATTCGGTGGTGCTGGCTCTGGGTCTGCCCTTGAACTCCTATGTCATCATGCAGATCTGGCTGTCCCGCAAGGCACTGACCCGCACAGCTATCTACATGCTGAACCTGGCCTTGGCCGACCTGCTCTACGCCTGCTCCTTGCCTCTGCTTATCTACAACTATGCCCAGGGCGACCACTGGCCCTTTGGTGACATCTCCTGCCGCCTGGTCCGCTTTCAGTTCTACACCAACCTCCATGGCAAGCATCCTCTTCCTGGCTTGCATCAGCTTCCAGCGCTACCTGGGCATATGCCATCCTCTGTCCACCTGGCACAAACGATGGGGCCGCGGCTCAGCCTGGTTGGTGTGCGGGGTCGTGTGGCTGGCTGTCTCAGCCCAATGCCTGCCCACAATCGCCTTTGCCCAGACAGGAATCCAACGGAACCGCACTGTCTGCTATGACTTGAGCCCTCCCAGCCTGTCTGCCAACTATCTGCCATATGGCATGGCCCTCACCTTCACTGGCTTCATGTTGCCCTTCAGCGCTGTGCTGGCTTGCTATGTGCCCCTTGTGCGCCGTCTCTGCCAGCAAGGCGGCCCCGAGGGGCCAGCAGTGGCCGAGAAGCGGGGGAAAGCAGCTCGTATGGTTGTGGTGGTGGTAGCAGCCTTCGCTATCAGCTTCCTGCCATTTCATGTTACCAAGACTGCCTACCTAGCTGTCCGATCAATGCCTGGGGTTTCCTGCCCTGTCCTGCAGACCTTTGCCGCTGCCTACAAGGGCACAAGACCCTTCGCCAGTGCCAATAGTGTACTCGACCCCATCCTCTTCTACTTTACTCAGAAGAAGTTCCGCCAGAGCCCCCAGCAGATCTTATCCAAGCTAAGCTCTAAGTGGCAACGGGGACACTGAACACAGAAGGACAATGACAGGGTCGTGGTCCCCAGAGGGCTTGGCCAGGCATCAGCTCTAGGTTGTCCCCCTGTGATGCCCTAGGGACAACTTCTTCAGACAGCAGTAAACCCTAAGATAACTGTAACCCCTTCCCCCAAGGGAGAGATGTGCCCAGAGACTGCTGAGGATCCCAGTGGCTTGGGGAATCTTGGGGTAAAGTGGCAAAAAGCACTACATTGGGAGTCAGAGGTCCTGAGTTCAGATCCTGGTTCTACTACCTACTTCCTGTGTGTGACCTTGGGCAAATTGCTTAACTTTTCTGGGCCTCAGTTTCCCTGAAGGGACTGGATAATTCCAAGGGGAAGAGATGGGATGATTCACTCTTTAGACACCCTGCTGTCCACCATGATGGCTCTTTCTGGAGCATGTGGAACAAGAAGGATCATTCTGGGATCTGAAGTAATTCTCAAACTCTCAGCTGAGCCCTAAATCAATCCACACTCATCACTTATTTATTGAGCACTTGCACTGTGTGGGTAGCTGCGGACAAAAAGCAATGTGATAGAGCAGAGAGAGTCCTAGATGCGAACTCAGAGGAGAGACCTGGGTGTGAGTCCAGCCACCATCTTACTGCATGACTTTGGGCAAGGCTGCCCTCCTCATCGGGACCCCTCTGCTTCCCCAGACACAAAAGAGAGTGAATGGGTTTATTGTGAGGAGTATTAAATGGTATAGTAATTATAAAGCACTTTTAGTAAGCATCATGTAAATGTTAACTATCATTATTATAATGATGATGTCATGATGTCTAAGGTTTCTTCCAAATCTAAATCCTATAATCTCAGGTGGATGTTGTGGCTCCCATCCTTACAGAGCTCAGATTTACAGAGGAGGCAGCAAGGGAAGGAGGGAGGAAGGCATGAAAGGTTGAAAGACAAGACTTAAATACGGCCACTAGGCCAAATGTACTAAGGGCCCAGTGAGGATAGAGAGGGAGAGCTATAGAAGAAAAAAGAAACCAATGAGAAGTAGGTCCATTAAGGAGAGAATCAAGGAGAAAATGGGACCCAAGTTGGGCCTTGAAGGACAGAGGGTGATTTGGAGAGGCAGGAGGACCTCCCTGGAAGGAAAATGGTGTGAGCCAAGATAGGGGGCCCTGCCTGGCAAGAACAGAGGGCAGGGTTTGGGAGTCGGGCTGGGGTGAGAGATGAGAGGGAGATAATACTGGAGAGTGAAGGTAGGATTGGAACATTGATGCCCTTCATCTCCAGCCTAAGAAGTCTGGATTTAGCCCTGTGGGCCATGTGGAGACCACATCTCACATTTCCTCATTCACACTCTCCCAAACCTCCCAACCCAGATGCCACCCCAGGCTGCTAAACTTCTAGCCTCTGCTATTTGCCCTCCAAGTACCCCTTCATTCCTTCATGTATTCATTAACTCATTCACCCATTTGTTCAGTAAAAGCTCGGTGAGGTCTAGAAATCACAGAGCTCTATGCTCAGCTTCCAGGAAAGGCAGAGATAGATAAGATCCTCTGAAGGGGCCAGCCCTGGTATTTGGCCCTCATTGACTCAGGTTGTCTTCTCAGGGTGACAGTTCCTTCTCTAGGTCATTCAGAGGCCCTGGATCAGGGCTCTCCATTCACCTCAATTCAACTATGTTTACATGCCTCCTATGTCCCAGGTTCTCTCTTTGCTAGGCACGAGAGATATAAAGACAAAATAAGAAATAGTTCCTGGCCTCAAAGAGCTTACTTTCCTTTGGGAGGGAATAAGGATGTCAACACAAAATACATAAAGGGTAAATGCAAATTAATGGGGGTGGAGTGGGGTTCACAGAGAGACATTAACAACTGGGGAGATGAGGAAAGGCTTCCAATTTTCACTGCTTGCTGAATTTCTCTAATCCTAAAACCCACAACCCAAGGACCCTTGATCCTCCCTCTCCCACCACCCAACAGTCTCCTAAGCCTGATTGGCTTCCTGAGGCTCAGTTTTGTCATCTGTAAAGTGGGAGTGTTCATCCCTGGAATACTTACCTCACAGGGTTGTTGTGAGGCTCAAATGAAATGATGTATGAAAAGCGGTCAGCAATTGTAAAGACGATGCTATATGAACATGAATCTTTGTTGTGTTTGTTATCATTACCACCTATAATTGTTATTATAATCTCAAGCTCAAGAGAAACCAAGTCTGCATCTCTTCTGAATCAGAGCATGGAGAGTTGGGGGCTGCTTCCTTCAGATTCCAGTGTAATTGCCATCTCTCTTCCCCCTCCCATCACCAAGGGGAAATGAGAGAATTCAAAGGTATAACTAGGACAATGTTCCTGTCACTGAAAAAATCAGAATAATTCAACCTCACCTCCCTATACACACACACACACACACACACACACACACACACACACACACACACGAGATACCCCACATGGAATGGAAAGAATACCAGACATTGGGTAAGAAGACCTGGGTTCCCATCCTGACTCTGACTCTGCTTCTTATTCCCTGTATGACTTGGGAAAGTCACTTCCCCTTCTCTGGGTCTCAGTTTCCTCATTTGTGAAATAAAGCACCTATGTGGTGCTCAGACCAGCCTAGCTCTGATCCTGACTTTGCCACAGGACTTTGGGCAAGAGCCTTCCATTCACCTCCCCTTCTGCCAAATGACAGGGGTAGGATGAGATGGCCCCTAAGATCTCTTCTAGTTCTGACAAACTGCAATGTGTGTAACTCGTGCTCCACCTAGCTAGGATGGCTGTCCCCCAAACCCATTGGTGCTCTCCCACATCTCTGCTTCTGCTCAAGCTAAGCCCTCTACCCAGAATGCTCTGCCTCTTGCCCTTTACATGTAGAACTCCTACTTAAACCTCTAATGCCCAACTGAAATGGCATCTCCCTGATTTCCCTAACAATCTTTCCCCTCAGACCTCACAGAGCACTTCTCTGAGGCACTTTATCATGTAATGTTGTGGATTAAATATTTGTGTTTGTGACTTATCCTCTACTACGCTGGAAGCTTCATGAGGATGGAGGCAAAGATGGAGTTTTATTTAAACTGTGCGTCTCCCTCAGTTTGGAGCACAGTCGCCTGCTGCAAACAGTAGGTGCTTAATAACCATTTGTTAAAATGAAATTACATTTCTGAAATGGTGTACTCTAAGACTGATTCCAGCTCTGACATTCTGTTCTAAGGTTCCTCCTACCTCTGACATTCTGTGTTCCAAGGTACCTCCCAGCTCTGACATTATCTGTTCTAAGGTCCCTCCCAACTCTGACATTCCCTGTTCTAAGGTCCCTCCCAACTCTCAACATTCCCTATTCTAAGGTTCCTCCCACCTCTGACATTCTGTGTTCCCAGATCCCCCCCAGCTCTGACATTTTGTGTTCTAAATCTCCCCCTCCCCCAGCCCTGACTCTGTCTCTACTTTCTGCCCTGTGTTTCTGTATACTACTCATCGCCACTAGACAAAACAGGGCCATCAGCAATCCCCAAAAGGCCAAGCAGATGTGGACCGCTGATATGGAAGAGATGAGGCACTGCTGCCATAACCCATGTCCCAGCTCCCAGTCTACTATTCCTGATCCAGGAGGGTAGAGGCCCCAGCTCCTCTCAGGTATAAGGACTTTCTCACCCTAACACCTATTGCTCTGTGTTAAGATAGAAGTTCTGCTTCCCTGGGTCATCCGGTATTGCTCACTGCTACACTTTAGCCCCGGGGTTCTTGACTCTTTTGTGTCATGACCCTCCTTTGGCAGTCTGGCGAAGCCTATTTCTCAGAAGAATATTTTTAAATGCATAAAATAAAATATACAGGATTACAAAGGAAACCAATTACATTGAAATAAGGTTATAAGAGAAAACTAAGTTGGCAGAGTAACAGGAAGAAACAGAATGAACCCCGCCCCCCAAAACTCCTCCCAACAGATCTAGAAAATGTACCAGACCAAATTCTGATGGGCAATCCAAGAGAAAAAAAAAGTCACAAGGAATCCTGTCTCCCCTTCATGGCTCATCCTGCAGCTCTCCACAATAACCAGCAGGTGGAAGCATTTCTGCTGTTTCACTATTGCTAGTGTGTCCTCCCACAGGGCGGCCACAGAAATTTGCCTATCAACCAATTAATCAACCAATCTGCAAGTATTTATTAAGCCGGAGAAAAACTTCTCTGACAATTATCCCATGCTGTCACTGAAGGGGGAGAGGGATACTAGATAATTTCTAAAACTTGGCAGGAGGAAAGGAGAGAGGAGAAGGAGGAGGGAAGGAAGGAAGGAAGGAAGGAAGAAAGGAAGGAAGGAAGGAAGGAAGGAAGGAAAGAGGGAGGGAAGGAGAAAGGAATCGTTAAGCACATGCTGTGTGCCAGGCCCTGTATTAACCACTGGGAATATAAAAGCTGTCTAGGAGCTTCTATTCCAGGGGTGGGGACCCTGGGACCTTGAAGCCACATGTGGCCTTGTAGGTCCTCAAGTGCAGCAGCTGCACATGTGGCCTCGAGGCCCCAGGGTCCCCACCCCTGTGGGGGAAAGCAACACACAAAAGAGAACAGAAAAGACAGGACAGGGCAGGAAATAGATGAGGAGGCATGGTTTTGAATTTCAGAGATTAGCAGTCCAGCCTGGGCCTCTTCACAAAATGGAGGCTCCTGAAAGAACTCACCCAAAGAAAAAGAGGGGAGCAGCTCAAAGAGGGATATTCCACAGAAAGCAGGCCATAGGTAGGATTTCCAGGGTGTGGAGGCCCTAGGCACTGAGGGAAGTTCCAGGACAAAAGAGCAGCAGGAGCATGATTTTGAGGTTCAGAAGGTAAGGAACAGGGCCGGTCAGAGTCCTCCCTGCATCACAACATCACAGTACCAGCCAAAGGGGCTTAACCTCTGGAGTCTCACCCTTGAACAACAGTCTTTGACTTTAAGAGTCACCAAGAAGTCAGGACCTCCCCTCACACACTCCCCATCTCCAAACAGACCTCAATCACCTGGTGACCCCAAAGCCTGTTGTTCTCTTTCTCCAGGTAGAGCCATACCTCGGGCGGAGTGATCGGGGCTTTACCCTTGAGCTCCTGACATGGGGAAGAGCATTTCTGCTCACGGAGGCCCTCCTTCATCTCATGATCTTCTGCCAGCCCTAGCCTACACTACATTTGTGGCATGGCTACCTCTACTCCCTTGCCTGGCTCTGCAATCTTACTCTTGATGTCCCCCATTACCACTGTGCCCCTCTCCTGAGCTAATGGTGGTCCACCTAACTACAGGCACATTCTCCTCAAATTCCAGGGCCAAGGGAATAACTACCACTGTGCCTTTCTCCCTACTGCACCCCCAACCCGCCTCCTTCTACTTTCTCTCTGTCAGCTTCTTCTTAGAAATAAGAGTCCAAAGGTGTGAACTGGACTTTCTGAGGGACAGGCCACTCTTCTGCTACCAGTTTCGAAGAATGAAGCCCATCTGCTTCACTATTTAAGTTTCTTTCCTCCAACAAGCCTGATATCCCTAGCAGGTCCTTCCTTCTTGTTTCCCTCCCTCTCTCCCTCTTCCATACTTACTTCAGGCACCAAAATTGCTCACTAGAGCTAAACTCCCCCAACCCCCTAACCTTGGTAGTGTTTCTCCTGGCCCAGTGAGTACTAACCTACAGCAAATCTAGAAGCTTGAGAAAGCATCCACATTTTGCCCTGTCTCTCAGTTCTCTGTGAGGCAAAGGAACCAGATTAAACACTTTTCACAGCTATGTAAAAGGGGAGAGTTCATAACCAAGCAAAAATGAAGTTCAATGACATGAAATTAGAAAATTGTGTGTTTCACACAAACAAAATCAATGCAACTAGACTAAGAAGGGAAGTTGCTAATTGGGAGAAAGGATCCTTCCATCAAACATCTCTAATATAGGTCTGATATTCAAGATAGATAACAAACACAAACATAAGACAAAAAATAGTTAAATGACATAAGAAATACTTCTCAAAAAAATTGCACCAGGCATAGTGGCACAAACTTGTAATCCCTGCTGCCAGGGAGACTGTGGCTGGTGGATTGCTTGAACTCAAGAGTTCTGAGTTGCAGGAGGCTAAGCTGGGAGTGTGATAGGGTGGGGAAGAGGTTGCAGCATGCCTGAGGATTAATGAACCAGCCCAGGTTGGAAATGGAGCAGGTGAAAGATCTCATGCAGATCAGGGTTGAGATGGAGCCAACGAATGTCTATTGCACTTCCTGCCTAGGTGAAATAGGGAGACTTGGACTCCAAAAAGAATTGCAGACTGTGACCAATATGAAATATTGTTCCAAATCATTAATAATTTTTAAAAAGCATATCAGAACAACTCTGAACATTCATCTCATAGCTAGCAAATTGACAAAGATAATAAAATATGGGAATAGCCAATGTTAGAAGAATTGTAGAAAGACAGATATGCTAACAAACTTGTGGGAAAGTTGTGAAATGTTCTGACTATTCTGGAAAACTACTTGGACCTGTGCTAAGAAAGTGATTGAATCTAAACTTTTTGCCCCAGATATTTCCAAGCTAGGCATATATGTCAAAGAGTTCAAAGGTAAGGAGAAAGGTGTCATGTACACTAAAATATTTACAGCAGCAGTTCATGTATTGTGAAAAACTGGAAACAAAGTAAATGTTAATCAGGAAATAGCTAAATTATGTTACACGAATGTAATAGAATATAACTGTGCTGCAAGAAATGATGAATATGCAGCTGCAAGAAACATGGGAAGACTTTTATATAAACTGATGCAAAGTAAGGTAGAACCAGGAAAACAATACACAATGACTGCAACAATATAAATAAAAATACAGAAAGAAAAATAAAACCCCAAACTATGTAATTATAATAACCAAGCTTGGCCCTAAAGAAGCGATAAGAAAATGTACCTCCTTCCTTTCATTGGAGAGCCGGGGAAACCATGGCTATGAAACATTACATTCACTTTGCCTCTAGGGATGACTCTCCCATGAAGCTGTGTGTGTGTGGGGGGGGAGAATGCAGTGATATACATTCAGAAATGAAAGTGACATAAAAGCAAAAGATATCAATAAAATTCTTTTGTTTGAAGTTCCCATAAGTTTCTCTAGGGGCAACCAGTTACTGGATTGCCCTGGACTGAGAATAG